TGTGTGCAATTCCCATCCCAACTTACAAGAAAATGTCAATATCATTATTACATAAAACATGAGGGAAAACTAAAGGATCTAAGGGATGCAAGATGAAATAAACATTATCAATGAATAACAATCTCATTAGTTTTTTTCTCCCCCCTATAATTATGGAAACAAGGATGTTATTTATACTGAGTCAGAGTGCAAAAAATCTAGGATATGTGCACTCAATGATGTTGATAAAACCTACATGTAGTCTAGTGTCAATTGCTGTTAAGAACCAATACCGGTGACATACCTTTTTCTAAAACATACTTTTTTTTTTACAAATCTTGACTCATTTTATACACTGTATCAATCTCTCTAAGCAAGACTATTTACCATAGAGTACAACTGCTTTGTAAACTGGTGGAAATCTTTTATATTTAATCCAATAAAAAATTTGTTGCATACAGATAAACATATTTCAGGTACAAGCCTAATATATATATTGAAAAATTACTAATTCTACAGTTTGTGTAATGGACTGCATCACAACTCGATCAGAGTTTATTGCCTTAGATAAAAAGATATTTTTCAATTAAATGTGTTCACTTTTTAGTTCTAGGCATCTCTCTCTGATGGGGTCCCAGTGAAATCATATGGGCCCCACTGAATTATGCCCTAACTCTCCAATATTCACTGCACATTTTTAATTGCTGTAGCTTATGCAGAACCAAAGGTAGTGTTTATATTGCCTTCAATTCAAGATATATAGGTCATGTAAATACCTATGTAAACCTTGCATTTGAACCCCACAAGAATGACTGAATTACATTAATATTTGAATTTCTATTCCATTGTATGTAAATGACCTGCTGCAAAGAAGAACAAACACTTCCCGAGGCCAAAAAAGACAAGGAGGAATTATACCATTCGACCCATTTGGACTTAGTGTGGACACCTAAAAGCCTTATTCATTCTTATGTAAAAATGGAACCTAATAAAGTCTTGGAAGTTAAAATGTCCAGAAAAGTTGATAATGAAAGACCTACCATTAAACTTAATTGCAAGAGAGGTTACATAATGATTAATAATTTCAATGGACTGCAATTCCATCAATATATCTCTAACAAACTGAGATCAATGCACATGAAATACACTACTGGGGTATAAGGAACTGAATAAATCCAATCAATTTGGCATGTTATTTTGATATTCATTACTCAGAAGGTTGAGGTTTACAAATTAGATCTCCAGAAAATAAAGAACTCCTGAAATTTTCTTGCAACGAAAGAAAGAAAAGTCTGTTCATAGATGAGTAACTCTAGTGGCATGTGTGCACTTCTCCTGGTCCATGTGGCATTTGTTTGTTATTAACCATTAGACAAATAACCCTGTATCTCCAGAGTGAGAACCCTAATTTGCCCGTGCTGACCTACCACACAGAAACCAGACCGTGATTCAGAATCCATCTAGCTAAAAATACAGCTTCCTTCAAGCTCTCTTAATTTAGAGTTAAAAGCCAAATAATACAGTGCCCTACAGTGTATATATACTAGCTGGCACTTGAGATCAGTCTTGATCCATTACATGAAGCTGGCAGCATTCTGACCACAAAACAAATTCTCATGAGTGATGTTGCTTTCAATTATTCATAATACAGAACAATCAGACTACAGAAGCCTTTTTAAATGTTGTATGACCTGGAGAAAGTAATCAAGGTTTAAAACCCATGATTATCGGTTAAAGTTCCACTTTTAAATAACGGCATCCCTTGCTACAGTTCATACATACTCAGCAACTTTTCACATGGGTATAGTATTACTAAATAAAATAATGATTTTTTTGTTTCAATGTGTTTGGAACAGAAGGAACTTGAGAGGCAGGACATAACATGTATGTGATTATTGGCAAAAATAGCCTGAAGTGTCACAAGTAATTTCCAGCTGTTACCATGAGATTGAACATGGCAAAATGACTCATCGCAAATTAGAACCTTTGGTAAGATTTGAACTAGGAGGTTTATGCCTGGCAGAAATATCTCACTGACTTATGTTAAAACAATTTATTTTAAAATCCCAATGTATGAGTGCATTTTATGACCTTAAGCCATTGTGTGATTGTCCTCACTAAAGAAGAGCACTCAACTATATCATAGTATACTTATGTTAAGTAGTTTAACCCCATAACAACCATCTGACAGGTGGTCTAATTTGGCAGATATGTCTTTATTAAAACACAAGTCTATCTTAACACAGTATGTAATATTCAAGTTGGACCTCACTGCACCTAAATTTTATGGGGCAATTATTTTTGCCTGGGGTAAATACCAATCAATTATATTTGCCTGAGGTAAATACCCATTTTTTAGCTAGGAGTGGGCATACCATTACTTAAAAGACCTATGTGATGAGACAATGATTAGTACAGGTTATCTAATAAAAGTCTATCTTTAAGACAACAATGTTTAGTTTTCAAGGGATGGGGGGGGCTGTATAATGCTTGAGATTGTTACCTATTTCCATTATCATGCTAAACATGTAAATAAATTTATCATTGATGTATATGTGTGTTATATATCATTCCTAAGCTGGAGCATATGTAAATGTTTTACCTACCACCAGTCAATTGAAAGTCTGTCTTCAAATTAAAGACAACTTTTTTTTTTCTTCTAGACTTGGATTGGTGTATTAGCCAAAATCATCACAAAAATGCTTAGAACTTAACAGTGGATTAAAATCATTTCATAATGCTAAAGGTGTAAACAGACTTATATAGGCAAGCTCTTGAACTATTTTAACTCTAAGTAATAAACATCATATTTTGGTAAAAATTGTCCATTTTGATCATACCAAAATAATTTTTATCCAATTAAAATGCTTATTACTCCACATAGGTAAGCACTTTGCTGGGATGCTTTGACACAGTGGTTGAAGTCTTTGTCTGCCAGTTTGTTCAAGTGTATGTGGTGATTTTTTATAAATACATACATTGTTTTCTAACTGGGCAACATAAAGGCCTAAATCATTTAAAAAAGCCGTTTAATAAAATGCAAGATATCGTAACACATTAAATAACTTTACAGCGAACGAAATAAATCAAGATGATCTCCATCAACCAATTATTTATGCTAAGATTCGTGGCTGTGTGTGTGTGTGTGTGTGTGTGTGTGTGAAATGTTTAGATGATCAGGAAAATATAATGTGTAGACCTGTATAATACAATGTATACATGACAACATGGTACGGGCGCCACTGGTCTCCCATCTGTCACGTTTTGGTCTGTGGAAGGAGGACACTAACATCCTATGTTATATAGTCTGAATACTTACTTCACAGTCATATAAATCCCTTAACTGATCGTCAACCCAATCTTCCACTTTAAGTCTCTTTCGAATTAAAACCATTTGCTGTGCTCCATATTTTGCTGTAAAATATTTCTGTTTCTGTTCATGCACTTCATCTCGTTTCGTTGGTGTGTGAAAGTTCACAGCATGATTTCCCGGTGAAGTATTGTTGTGGACAGTGTTAGCAGGTGCTGCGGCGTTCCTATACGAGTTCATGTCAGCTACTGCTGGAGTAGTCCCTGTACTTGTGAACGTCGCCATCACTTCACAACACGAACACCATGCACCCTACAGTTTATCGTCTGAAAATAGTGCGGTCATCTGTTCAATAAATATTACTTCGCGGAGAGGGGGAAACCTCTCGTGCCAGGATCACATTTGAAAGGTGCGTGCGGTTAAACGTCTTTATTATATTGCTATGCTGACTGTTCCCATTCAAATTTTACCAGTTGTCTTTTCTCTTCGTACCTTGGTAGAAATAAATCTGCTAAGAATGCAAACGAACTTTTTTCTTCACACCTGGCGCATAAGAATATCGGTTCAGGTTTGTGAGGAGGCCTGTCAGGTATATTGATGTATTGAAAAAATCAGCGTCATTTAAGATCACGTTTCGTGTCAAGTTACAGTCTAAATTATTTCAAATGTAACAATTACAAAGGGAGTTTTGGCATACTTTTTTGAATTGAATGTAAACAAACCGTAAATCAATATACATATTTAGGCTCAACTTTAAGATCTGCAGCCTTTGCGTTTTTATTTTTTTTCACAACAGGAGCTAGATAATGTTCATTATAAATTGGCCTTAATTAAATCACTTTGAGAACACCTCGAAAAAACACTATTTAGTCGACTTGTTATATATCCATATGTATTAATCTCTCCGTTTGGTTCGAAACGGTAACATCTTGTTTTAATGAAATTAATAGAATGTGAATTCCTTTATTCACAATGACGGCAAAGCTAGGAGTAACACTTTTTTTAGATAAAATGTTCCGCTGGCAATGTTTTTTTCCTCTTGTGTAACGACAGATTTTCTCCTTTTTCGTAATCGACACACTACAGCTAGAAGTCACATGCAGTTAATTTGTGAGACAAGTACTAGTATGAGAAAATTGATTTTGCGTGAATTGCTCACCTGCTATAAAATAATTAATTGTAAATCTGATCAATTCTTGAAACTATCTAGCTTTTAAAAGATAAAAATTACAGCATATTAAACGCAAAAAATGTGTTTACAGAAACAAACGAATATTAAAAAAACAACATCACAAGTATGCACTTACGTCGGTTTGAGGGAGAACCGATTTTACATGATTTTAGGACTCACGTTTAAAACAAGGGCCGACACGCTTTCTTATCTTCTTTGTTTACTCCAACAGTCTCGATGGGTTGGTTCTGAGACAGATAAGAAATAAAATTCCAAATACCAGAAGATAATGGAACTCATTTATAATACGAGCCTGGCGGCTTTGCCGAGTTTGGTTGTGTTAGAGAAGGCAATGTTTAAATGGCGCAACCTCTTTAGGAGTCGGTTGGTTTTTAACAGACTGCCCCCCCCTTTTTTATTTTCTTTTTCTTTTTTTATTATTTAATTATTTATTTATTTTGGACAAACTTGGACCTCTCATTGCACAGGAATACTTTTAAGTAAAAAAATAGACACAGTAACACATTGTCTTGGTGCTTACTTGTTTACATAATGTTTCTTTATTAGAATCATAACAGATGTGCTGGTACATGTAAAATTAATGTTCAACAAAATGTACCATTGTGCCTGCTATATCAACCACATTATTTAAGCATTGAAACTGGGTGTTTAATGAAAAAGTATTTTTTTGTGTAAATATCCTTTTACAATTTATATGTATAAACAAAGAAGCCTTGAAGAACATCAAAGTTTAAGAAAAAATAATTTATACTTTAAATTTCAATAGATTATGTGAATACTATGAAATAATTATATAAGTTATGTGAATACAGTGGAAAAAAACATTTATAAAAAGATACACATATAAAGTAATTGAGATATCAAGCGACGCATACAAACCACTTCCACAAGTTTCGAAAACAACTAAAATAAATTCAACATGCCAAGTCATAAAATAAATCAATCCTTTGTTCTGCCAAAAATAGCTTTAAAACTGCACATTCTTCAAAATTTTGGTTGTAAAGTGACCTATTTATTCATTCCTCCAATTGGTAAAAGTACCATAAATGATGTAGTACTGGCCACACAATGCATCATTATCATATATGATTAAATTTTTCACTAAATATTATCTTCATGTATGTAAAAACATAAAATTCTAAAAAATGCTACTAAAATTTTGATACTTTTCATGGTTATGTGGCCATTTGCCAACTCTGGACTTTTTTAATGAAGAATGATGTGGAAGTGTGTATTACAGGGTGATCATTAAATTGGATGAATTTGGGCTTGGGCTGAAAACACATCAAATCTCTGTGTTATCACAGTCTTGTACCATTAGTAGACAACCCCTTGCTTGTGTCAGTTTACAGTTTTGGATGAAGATAATATGACTGATGCACCACCAAAGAACTGTTAATGTCAGATAAGCTGGCACAACCTGAAAAAAAAAATGAAATAATAAATCACTTAAAACTCAACATATATGATACCCTATTACTGCTTCAGTTGCAAAATTGTGACACCAAATATGAGATAAAACTGTCTTAAGTAGTGTTTATACTACAACAAATTATTTTCCTTGAAAACAAAAAAAAGAATGACATAAGTTTCAGAGTTAATCATACTTCATGATGCTGACTTGAACATATATATTAATGTATAAAATGCTATTAGACTTTCCAAGCATTTACCCTCTACCAGAGAGATGTGCATGGAATTAGCCTGAGAAAAACCTTTGAATATCTAGTGAAAAATCTATCTACGGGTATTAAGCATTATGGCAATGGCTTGCACAGGATGATCAGCAAATCCTGCTAAAATTACTAAGTGGAAAATTATGCTTTTAAAAAGAAAGCTAGGATTCCCCCTCCCCCCAATAACTTCTCCAAGTGGCAAACTGTACCTGCTAGGGCCATGGCTAAGCTTAGCTCGTCTCTTAGAATCTGGAGAATTGTCTTCACACCTGCCTCACCCTAAATATTGAATAGAATATAAGGCTGACAAGAAGCATAGGCTGTTGGGAATTTATAGGAAACATTTTTGGACTCATTTGGTTGGACTGTAAGGAAAAATTTAAAAGAAACAAAATCTGGTAAAACTTCTACATCTCTAGTCTGTTATTTGATGCAAATTTGGGTAAGAAAATATAACTTATTATAGGTATTCTTACATCATAGGCCAGCCCATACAGTGCAGGTCTACCAATGAAAACTGCTTTAGCTCCTAATGCCAGAGCTTTTAGTACATCTGTGCCTGTTCTGACACCCCCATCCAAGTAGACTTCACACTGGCCATTCACGGCACGCACCACCTCAGGTAAAACATCAATCTAAGAAAAATAGTAGACATACATAGGAAATATATATCTCACTCACTTTTTTTTTTTTTTTTGTGAATCCACATTTGCAGCTTTGCATACTCAAACAGCACAGCAGTTTTGAAAAGAAGAATCCTCTGAAAAATCATTAATCTGCAAATAAAGTAAAGATAAATTTTAATCTACTGCAGCAAATTTTACTTCTTATTAGTTGAATTATTAGTATACTCATACAAACAAAATAGATTCAAAAATTAAAATTTCTCACCGTTGCAGGCACACCATCCAGCTGTCTTGCTCCATGATTAGATACAACAATGCCGTCTACACCTGTTCTCACTGCTTCAACTGCATCCTCTCCTGTTATTATCAAAAAAGACAGATGAACAACTTGAGTGCCATTGTTGACCAAAGAGCAGTTTCAATAATTTCTTTCTTATTTGGGATGGTATACACTTCTTACTTTGCTCACAATTCATGATGTATAATATAGCCTTAAGCATTCTTGCCCATTGATTTTTCTAGTCATATTTCCTTTTGCTGTATATTAGAAATTCGAAGGTGTATAACATGTATGCATTTTGATGACAAAGACTAAACACCTAGCTTGGATAATATATGCAGTTATGTAGCTTACATAGACTTCCAAAATATTTTCTCACCTTCATCAAAACTAGAAAATGCTTGAACATAAAAAGTCTACGCATGTTACTGAATCTCTAAGCAGAAAATAGTATTAGTGGAAATCGCCTCCATTTCTTGATAATTAAGCATGAGAGAATATGCTTAAGTTTTTTGCAGAAATTGATGAGAATTTACCTGTGAGAATGCCCTTCACAATAATAGGAAGTTTTGTGAACTGTTTCAGCCACCTTACGTCAGTCCATTTCAAAGACGGATTTAAGAGGGAGGCAGCAAATTTACTCTGACCTGACCCTTTCCTTCCTTTCACTCCGTCAGATTTATAATCTGCTTGCTTGAAATTAGCCATTCTAAAATATCAAAATAAATTACTCAGTTTTAGCACCTACAGTCTCTGCATAAATCCTATTAACCTACTGAACAGAAACTGTGGCCAGTAATTAAACAAAGTTACACATTTTCACTTTAATTACATGAGAATATGGAATGGGGCCATTGTTTAAATTGCAAATTTAATGATTAAAAGAGGAGGAGGGAGGCATTCAGCCTTTTACACCTGTGTATATTACTCTTACCCCGACATATCCCCATCCCATGGGGGTTACATCCCTATAAGTCCCCGCACCGATACTCCCCCACATGCAGTTTCGATGTGGGGAAACAATAATGTTTTACTGGCAATTTTACTGGGGATGTATCGATGCATGGATCGATATTGGTGTGGGGTCCTATTGATGTGCATAATACACAAAAATTTACTAAGGGGGATTATTGGTGCGGGGGGAATAACGGTGCGGGGGAGTAACGGTGCGGGGGAGTATCGACATGACCCCAAATGGGTATGATTAAATTCTGGATCCAATAGTAATGTGTTACATGTACATGTACCTGAGATGTGGAGGCAAGGTAAACTTATTTCTAGTATCAGCCAGTCTTCTCCCAAACATGGGTGTGTCAACAGTTAAAACCAAAGCTTTGTATCCACTGCGCTCTGCTCTTCTCACTAGTTCTTTAGTCACTTCCCGATCACGGTAGATGCAGATTTGAAACCAACGCAGACCCTCTGGAGATGCCTGGGCCACTTCTTCTATACTGGAGGTAGCCATTGTGCTGAGAACCATACAGGTTTTCATTGCAGCTGCAGCTTAAAGAAAACAGAAATGAATGTAATTTAACATTAAACAAAAAGTCATTATATTTTTAGATAATAATTTTTAATGGTTTTGGCTAGCATATGTCTTATTAGTGATAAGGGAAATTAGATAACAGTTCTAACATGCAAAAAATAAAGAACTGGATGAAAAATTGGCTAATTTAGAATAATGTACCATTGGAAATGGTAAAAAGCTTTCTCTTGTATTACAATGTTGGCTAATAATCTAAGTCCTTCATACCCCTTCCAGTGGCTACCTCTCCATCAGGGTGTGCCATCCTTTGCAAGGCTGTGGGCGCGATTCCTACAGGGAAGTCAACTGGCTGCCCTTGGATCCTGGTGGACAAGTCTCTCTTTGAGACATCTTTTTGTAAAAACCGTGGCCGAAATCTATACCTAATAAAAAGTATAATGACACATTATTTATTAACTGTATATCTGTATATCCATAAATGTTATAATGTACACTGTATATCCATTAAGTGTAATTTGAACTTTTCCTTTAGTTGATCAAAGACTTTTACCAAAATCCATTTGTCTTTTGTATCCATAACAGTTCTAACAGTGTGTGTGTGTGTGTGTGTGTCACTGTGTGTGTGTGTGTGGGGGGGGTATTTTCTTCTTCACTTGAGGGGAGGGGGAGTAAATGATTATAAACACAAAGTATTCAGAAGCTTGGTCCTTCACAAATTGGTTGGCAGCTTCACCTTGCCCTAGTCTATGCCTTTTTCATCAGGTAATATGTAAGAATGCAGGGTACATCATTTTAACCTTGCCTCAGTGAGATGCGGGTTAACGTCTTACTTTTGTTCCCTCCTTTGGGGGCTCCTTTCCGCACTGATAATCATTATGTCCTTGGAGTCTAACTACAGTGTACATTATGCAAAAGCAGCTCAGTTACATTTGCTTTACCTTCCAAATGCAGCTCTGTTATCCCTGAGAGACTGCTCGTCATTTGCGCCACTTCTGTAGTAGTCTAACGCATTTCTATCAAGTTTACCAAAGGCATATTTCTCGAAGTCATCTAAGCAGACTAAAGATCCAGTTGCCATAATTTGAGATGTTGGATGACCCAGTTAGTCAAGAAGCCAGAACGCTAACCCTGCAGTGTTTTTTCCTAAACTTTTTTTGTTGAAATGCATTCTTCATGTCAAAAGAAGCAAAATTAGCGTGGTTGCTACTTCTGAAACATTGAGCATTTATCAATATGGCTGTCAATTTATGAGGAAAAATAGAAAAACGACCAGAAGTCGCCGGGTATACTTTATCAAGAGCTTCTTTAAATGTTTGTCCTATTAGCAGAGCACAGTGGGACTAGTGAATACAGTTAAGTGTGTTACTTTCAGCAAAAAAGTCAAAATGGCCATCAAAACATATAACAGAAAGTCAAAAAAGCAGCAATTTTTTTATTTATTTATTTATTTTTTTTTTTGCATATTTAATCTTATTAAAGGATATTTCCCCTTTTATATTTTTGTTCATTTTTATATTTTGTTAGCCATGATCCTAAACTGTCAGAAACTGCTCAGTAGGACACATACTGTCGATGCAGAGTGATATAACGTCGTTTTCTCGCGCCAGGACGTAACGTCGGGCTCAAATTTTGTAAAAATTTAAACTTGGTCGAAAAATGGCTATATACTTCAAATAAATGCAAACTTAGCAAGTCTAATACGATATTATGATTGTGGGGTATGTAGACTTTATATTCATGTAGCCTTCTACTGAAATTTTGTCGTTCAGACTGAGCTTGCGTTCATCAAAGTCGCACTGAGCGGTAAAATTTGACCTTGGAAACATCGTAACTTTGGCCACTATTCCTCAACTAGAGAGAAATTCGGGAAATTCCCTTCAAAATCTAAAACCTGGATATATATATGACCATTTTATTAATTTTAAGCCAATTTCGTATTTGGAAACAATTTCCTCTCAATATAGTCCCTCGCTATACAAAAGCATTTTCGGACACGTCAATTTTTCAGTGTTCTGGATTTGAGAGAAATAACTGTAAGATAAGAGTTTATTTAGCCAATTAACTCTGTACAGTGCATTGACAAAAGCTTACAGTTTTTCAATAGACGGATAACTCCTCGTTTAGTCTCTAAAATATGGAAAGTCAATTCACTGTAGTTTTTTCGCAAAGTTTATTTATTTCAGACGTACGCATTTTTCATCGCGCCGCTTTTTTGGCGCTATATCGTGACGCAGATGTACCGGAAAATCCATGACGTTTCAAATCACACCTAAATCCTGACAGTATGGGTCCTACTGTGCTTATTTGACATTCAACAGATGGTGGCAGACTGTGTCATCCATTTGCCACTCCCACAAACACCATAGTAGAAGCCTGCTATGTTATATCTTACAAGCTTTTTTAAAAGAAATTATTTCATCTGGGTGGCAAAACTTACAAATGCTTATTAAGCTTGACTTTCTTTGCCAGTTCATTCGTACGAGGTACGTAATGAGAATCTTTTGGAATTCAAAATAGCCATCAATTTGTTATATAAATAGCAAGAGCCAAACGTTCAAATCAAAAATTGCACAAATAAAATTTTTTCTGCAAAAAATTCCCATTTTACGAAAATTTTGGCCCATTTGACCTTGAAATAAAGGTCAAAGGTCAAACCCAAAGGGGGTATTTGAAATCTACATACATGATTTTCGGTCAGCAATCTACAGAACTTTTTTCCCATAATTTCTTTGGTTTGGAAGATTTTCAGCATTTAATTTTGCAAATTTTGGACAAGGGTGCATTGCGATGAGCGCCACACCTAGACCTGTGCACCGACAAAGTCCAAAATTTACGTGGTACGAGTTGAGATTATATGTGACCTAAATCCAAGAGATGGGTAGGCAGGCTCTTGTAGTCTAGGAGGAGAAGCAGTAACAGTAACTTGGCAGCGGAGCCAACGGAGCCGGCAGGGCTGGCCGATGAGACAGACGAGGCGGGTCGGGACTAAAACCATGTGTACCTCCAGCGCTACGCTGGTGGTACAATAAACACACAACACATTGTTTTGGTGCTTACTTGTTTACACCATGGTACTTTATTAGAATCACAATAGATGAGTCAGTAAATATGTAAGTAATGTTCAACAAAATTTACTATTGTGAAAGCTATTAGTAATTATGTCAACCATTTCCTTTTAGCATTGAAACTGAGTGTTTAATTAAAAAGTATTTCTTTGTGCAAATATCTTTTTACAATTTACATGTATAAATAAAGAAGCCTTGAAGAACATCAAAGATTAAGAAAAAATATATTTATACTTTAAATTTCAATAGATTATGTGAATACTATGAAATAATTATATAAGTTATGTGAATACAGTGGAAGAAAACATTTATAAAAAGATACATATATAAAGTAATTGAAATATCCAGTGATGCATACAAACCACTTCCACTAGTTTCGAAAACAACTAAAATAAATTCAACATGCCAAGTCATAAAATAAATCAATTCTTCGTCCTGCCAAAAATAGCTTTAAAATTGCACATTCTTCAAAATTTTGGTTGTAAAGTGACCTATTTATTCGTTCCTCCAATTGGTAAATGTACCATAAATGATGTAGTACTGGCCACACCATGCATCATTATCATATATGTTTAAATTTTTCACTAAATATTATCTTTATGTATGTAAAAACATAAAACTCTAAACATTTCTACTATAATTTTGATAATTTTCATAGTTATGTGGCCATTTGCCAACTCTAGACTTTTTGCATGAAGAATGACGTGGAAGTGTGTATTGCAGGGTGATCATTAAATTGGATAAAGTTGGGCTTGGGCTGAAATCCCATCAAATCTCCGTGTCATCACAGTCTTGTACCATTACTCCTTGCTTGTGTCAGTTTACAGTTTTGGATGAAGATAATATGACTGATGCACCACCAAAGAACTGTTAATATCTGATAGGCTGGCACAACCTTAAAAAAAGAGAGAAAATGATGAAATAAATCACTTAAAACTCAACATATATGATATCCTGTTATTGCCTCAGTTGTAAAATTGTGACATTAAATGTGAAATAAAACTGTCTGATGGAATATTTATAGTATGACAAATTGTCTTTCCTCCAAAACAAGAAAAAAAGAACAAGTAACAGAGTTAATCATACTGCATGATGCTGATTTTAAACATATATATTAATGCATAAAATGCTATAAGACTTATCAAGCATTTACCCTCTACCAGAGAGATGTGCAACGAATTAGCCTGAGAAATATCTTTGAATATCAAGTGAAAAATCTATCCATGGCCCTGGTAGAGGGTATTAAGCATTATGGCAATGGATTGCACAGGATGATCGGGATATTCTGTTAAAAGCACTTAGTTGAAAATTATGCTTGAAAAAGAAATCTAGGATATACCCCCCCCCCCACCCCAACCCCAAAATAACTTCTCCAAGTGGCAAACTGTACCTGCTAAGGCCATGGCTAAGCTTAGCTCATCTCTAAGAATCTGGAGAATTGTCTTCACACCTGCCTCACCCTAAATATTGAAAAGAATTTAAGGATGACAAGAAACATTTTTTGAACTCATTTGGTTGGACTGTAAGGAAAAATTTAAAAGAAACAAAATCTGGTAAAACTTCTACATCTCTAGTCTGTTATTTGATGCAAATTTGGGTAAGAAAATATAACTTATAGGTATTCTTACATCATAGGCCAGCCCATACAGTGCAGGTCTACCAATGAAAACTGCTTTAGCTCCTAATGCCAGAGCTTTTAGTACATCTGTGCCTGTTCTGACACCCCCATCCAAGTAGACTTCACACTGGCCATTCACAGCACGCACCACCTCAGGTAAAACATCAATCTAAGAAAATAGGAGACCTATATATATCACTCAAGTTTTTTTTTAATTCACACTTGCAGCTTTGCACACTCAAACAGCACAGAAGTTTTGAAAAGAAGAATCCTCTGATATTTTGAACTAAATCTCTAAAAAATCATTAATCTAGTAAAGATAAATGTTCTACTACAGCAAATTCTATTTCTTATTAGTTGAATTATTAGTATACTCATACAAACAAAATAGATTCAAAAATTAAAATTTCTCACTGTAGCAGGCACACCATCCAGCTGTCTTGCTCCATGATTAGATACAACAATGCCGTCTACACCTGTCCTTACTGCTTCAACTGCATCCTCTCCTGTTATTATCAAAAATGATAGACAAACAACTTGAGTGCCATTGTTGAGCAAAAAGGAGTTTCAATAATTACTTTCTTATTTGGGATGGTATACACTTTTTACTTACTGTAGTTAACAATTCATGATGTAAAGTATAGCCTGAAGCATTTATGCCCAAAATCATATAAAATCATTAGGGAAAATCAAATGTTTATAAAATATATGCATTTTGATGGCAAAGACTAATCATCTTGGATAATATGCAGTTATGTAGCTTACGTACAGTTCCAATTTTTTTCCCCGTCTTCATCAAAAACTAGAAAATGCTTGAACATGAAAGGTCTAGTCTTTGTATGTTACTGAATCTCCTACCAAGAGAATGGTATTAGTTGTAAACTTAACTTCTTGATCATTAAGCATGAGAGAATATGTTAAAATTTTATAGTGTTTTGATTAAGATGAAGATGATTTACCTGTGAGAATACCCTTCACAATAACAGGAAGCTTTGTGAACTGTTTCAGCCACCTAACGTCAGTCCATTTCAAAGATGGATTAAAAAGGGAGGCAGCATATTCACTCAGACCAGACTCCTTGCTTCCTTTCACTCCATCAGATTTATAATCTGCTTGCTTGAAATTAGCCATTCTAAAATATCAAAATAAATTAATCAGTTTTAGTGCCTACAGTCACTGCATAAATCCTATTAACCTACTGAGCAAAAACAGTGGCCAGTAATTAGTTACAAATTTTCACTTTAATTACATGTGAATATGGAATGGGGCCATTGTTAACATTGCAAATTTTATGATTAAAGGAGGAGAAGGAAGGCATCAGCCTTCTACACCTGTTTATATAACCCTTACCCTGAAATATCCCCATCCCAATTTGATTAAATTCTGGATCCAATAGAGATGTGCTATAAATACCTGAGATGTGGAGGCAAGGTAAACTTATTTCTAGTATCAGCCAGTCTTCTCCCAAACATGGGTGTGTCAACAGTTAAAACCAAAGCTTTGTATCCACTGCGCTCTGCTCTTCTCACCAGTTCTTTGGTCACTTCACGATCACGGTAGATGTAGAGCTGAAACCAACGCAGACCCTCTGGAGATGCCTGGGCCACTTCTTCTATACTGGAGGTAGCTATTGTGCTGAGAATCATACAGGTTTTCATTGCAGCTGCAGCTGAAATGGAAAAGAAAATAACTAAAATTTTACATCATTCATTTGTCACTAGTCAATATGTTTTAGAAAATATTTTTGAATGGGTTTCGATAGCATATATCTTGGTGATAAGGAAAATTTGATAAAATTTCTGGATTTTTTTTTTAATAGTTTCATTGCATGCCTACCAGACAAAAAAAAATAAAGTAGTGGCTGAAAAATTGGCTAATTAAGAATAATTAATATACCACTGAAAATGGTAAAAAGCTTTGTCTTGTATTACAATGTTGCCTAATTATCTAAGTCCTTAGTACCCCTTCCAGTCGCTACCTCTCCATCAGGGTGTGCCATCCTTTGCATGGCTGTGGGTGCGATACCTACAGGGAAGTCGACTGGCTGCCCTTGGATCCTAGTGGTCAAGTCTCTCTTTGAAACATCTTTTTGTAAAAAACGTGGCCGAAATCTATACCTAATAAAGAATGTAAATACACATGATTAATTAACTGTAATGTATATCTGTATAGTATTTTTTTTCTAAATCCAAACTTTCCCTATAATTGATCAAAGACTTATCAAAATCCATTTGTCTTGTGTATATATCCCTATCAGTTCTAACTGAGTGTGTTTCGGAGGGGGTGGGGAGGAAATGATTATAAATGCAAAGCCTAGGCCTTCACAGATCTTGGATGCCATAGTCTACGCCTGTTTTATGTGGAAAAATACAGGGTACATTGTAATCTCGTCTACTTTGTTTCATACTTTCCGCACTGATAATCATTATGCCCTTGGAGATTATATAACTCCACCCGAACTCCACTGTCTACAGTGTACTGTATATTATGCAAAAGCAGCTCAGCAAAGTTTGCTTTAATACCTTCCAAATGCAGCTCTGTTATCCCTGAGAGACAGCTCGTCATTTGCGCCACTTCTGTAGTAGTCTAACGCATTTCTATCAAGTTTACCGTAGGCATATTTCTCGAAGTCATCTAAACAGACTAAAGATCCAGCTGCCATCATTTGAGATGTTGGATGACCTAGTTAGACTGCTAGACAGGCCTATATAGGTCACGAGTTTGCTGATGCAGCCGAAAGAGGGCGAGGGGGGCGGGGGCAGGTGGCATTTAACCATATGAAACTTAGTGATTTACTTAAAACTGATCAATTTCTCAAATGCTGTAAAAGGCGATTTTATTAATGGCTTTCAACAGATGTTGGATACAATGTTTTATTCCAAGAAGTTATACAGGCACGCGCAGGGGGTAGGTGGGAGGGCTTACAAAATAAATAGGCTCCTAAATAAAAAAATAAATAAATAAGGTAGAAAATAAATAAATAAAAGAAAGAAAGAATAATAAGCGACGGGGGAGGGTTGGAGTAGTATGGATGATCATGAATTTGGTGACTTGACTGCCAGGGCGTCCTCCCTATATTTTCAATACTCACTTTTTAATATTCATTTAAAAGTTTGAGAGGAAATAGGCCTATAGTTTTAGTGGCAAGACTGTTGACATGATTATACATTTTTCTCGAAGAGTAGGCTCTACAAAGAACCAACTTAGGACCTTGTGATGTTATAAAACTTAATGATAATAATGTCATCATGCGAGATATCGTTATCTCTGAACAAGGTCGCAAACTCGGGGCCCCGTCGTTATCTCAGGGGGAGTATGTATTCTTGACCAATTCAGCAGACGATGCTTTGATTGGTAAAGATTTGATGGCATCATGTGACCTATAGATATAGATATTTGTATAAATCCCTGCTACCAAAGTGTCACGAGCAGATACGCCCCTTGGAGTTGTAGCAGTCAAGTCAACCACGATGAAAGTCCTGTTGCTTTTCAGCGTTTTTCTGGTAGCGGCGTGGGCTCAACAGCCGGTGCCTTGTGGTATGTTACTAGTGTAAATATATTATAGTCAGTAGAAGTTATTTTCGCTGAATATCGTGTGAAAGTAAGAACGTTTATCTTTTGGCAGATTATAACGTGAATACTGATCGACAGTGTGTTTCTTAACTCGGTGCGTACGTCAAAGACTACATGTACCTGTGAATTATATATATATATATATATATATATATATATATATATATATATATATGTAGTTGCAGCGACTTTTGGTTGGATGCTCTTTGCTACATGATGAAATATGCAAGGAATTAAAAGAAAAACGATGTTTTTGATTCAAACGGTGGTATTTATTTATTATTTGTTAATGTTACTATCATTTATCTATTTATTTATCTATCAATAAATCTATCAATTTATTTTCTAATTTTTATTTATCCATTTTATCTGTTTATTACTTTATTTTTGCAAAAACGCAAGTTGCCAATTTAAAACTGAAATTTTGAATATCTTCTTCCCATATCTGACTTACTTAGTTTATTTTTTGCTATTTCAGAGGTACCTAATACATGGCACGCCACACAGATCCAGGTAATGCCATTTGGTTTAACACTATTTTTATATTCAGATAGGAAATGTGCAAGTTAATGGCACCCTGGCTCTCAGAGGGCGCTACAAAGTCACTTCAAACTCTCTGCTATCAGCATACTGGAAACCGCAGAAACATGCTGATAGGAGGGCGGTGGGTTTGTTGTGTCCTTCGAAACTCAGGGTTTTAATGACGGATACTTTTCTCTACCAAACCCACCGAATCCACGCTCTCGGTTACCTTTACGACTAGTTACTATGGTTCCCAGGGGTTTCTTGACAGCAACCATGTATAAGATTTTCGAAATGGAATTGGAAACCCCATGCGATTGATAGCTGGACTGCTGATAGAGAGAGGTAGTTTCCGATAGTCTCTATAACTCAGCTGCTGCTTACATGGAGAAAGCTATTCTTATTTGTTTTTATTCAGAGTATGCCTTCAATATCAGTAATAAGTTAGATCTAAGACTATCAGATATTTATTTACTGTCTTGCAGTGTTGTCAACATCTGTCGTGTTTTCATTGCAGCAGATGGCGGGCGTAGGGAGGGGGATATCAAACGATAGATGAGGGCAGTCTTAACTGTAATATGTGGGGTACAGGGATGGAAAATGGTTTGTTTTTGCCTATTTACCTTCATGTCTTTTTATAATTTTTCTAATTTAATTTTTTTTTTGTGTGTGTGTGTGTGTGGGGGGGGGGGATACGCATGCACCTCAGAAGCTACAGCTAACTTCCCCGCCCCGATCCGACATTGGCAAAGCGCAACAACTATAAAAGGAAGTGGACAAAGCATCAAAATCAATTAGCACAAATTTTACATAATTAATTTGCTACTAAATCGTAAATAAATTTTAATAATCAAGAACTGCACTAAGTCTTACAAATGCTAAAAATCAAAAGCTGAAAATCTTTTTCTTTTCTTTTTTCCTTTAAAAATAATGTGATTGATTAGCAGTATCTTTTTTATGTTACTACTTTGTCATGTCCGAAATATTTTAAAAGACAGCAGTAGTTGAAGAAACAAAATTCGAGCTCAGAAGCAGTGGTGAGAGTGGGTTATGAGTTTAGTTTGGACCTAAGACTCACGTGCACCAAACGCCGAAAATTCAAAAACTGAAACTGACATCAAGCAAAAAAGTGAATGCTTGCAAAATGAAGTATTTTTCTCTGCTAAATTACCGTCTTTACCTTGAACAATCACATATTTTTCCAGTCCGTCTTGAATGTGATCTAAATGTAGTTCTAATCACACCATAAGCCTTATTGCAGGTTTTACTTTTAGTAAATAGAAAATAGTCATAATATATCGCCATTCACACAGAAATCCGATAGAATTAAAATC